GGGGCCGGGGGGGGGGAGGCACATGGGGTATTCACTCTTTTTTATACCACTCTTACACCTAGTACTCCTTGTTTCTCTATTTCAAATACTTACTTCTCTGGTGTAAGTGAATAAAGTGATTTTTTTGTTTTCTTCTTGTAAGTTGTTTTTTCTCTCCCCGGTGTCAGATGGAGGAAGACAACAATAATACTGACAGTGGTATTGAATTGGAGAAAGGGGAGTAGTTTTACGTGCAAATGGATTACACTTCCTTTCTACTAATCTATTACTTTTTTATTGTTAAAACAAGTTCCTTAAGGGGAGGGAGAGAAAGCTCTAGCTGTAAAATTTCACTTAGTGATTTTATTTCTGGGACTGCTTTCTCTACTAATGTTGCACACAACATTATTGTATTCTTAAATAAGAGGGGAAAGAATTTACTGTTTTCATAGAACTTTGGAAGGAAGCATCTGAGAAGAAATTGGCAGAGCTTCAGAGTTAGAAAATAAATTGTTCTGTGGTGAGTTTCTCCAGAAATAATAAAAAAACCCCCAACAAACAACAAAATGACAATAAACCCCCCCTCCCCCCCCAAACCAACCAAAAACCCCCACCACAAAACAAACAAACAAAGCCCCAAAGCAAACCCCAGTATTTTCTAATATAGCAATAATCAGAGAATTGTTTAGGTTGGAAGAAGGAACCTCTTGAGATCATGTAGCTCAACTGCCTTCTCAAGTAGGGTCAGCTAGAGTAGGTTGTCCAGAACTGCATCCAGTCAGGTTTTGAGTCTCTTGTGAGTGGAGGCTCCACAACCTCACTGGACTTGTGTGTCCTTATGTTCAGGACTGCTGATGTAGTACCGTAGCTCTTCTGACGTGAAAGAACAATCTACGCCATTTTTATGTGGGTAACAGAAATTAGCCCCATTTACAAACTGTAGGTCTGAAGCCTGAGGAAGTGCAGAGATGTACACAAATGGATGTGGTGGAGCTAAAATTAGGATTTTATAATTGGTATTTAGGCTAGAAGCTATGCTGTAAGGTCATATCTTAAAATATATTAAGAGACTAAAAGGAAATGCTTGCTTGTTGTTGGATCAGCACCCTCAGAAATTTTTTATTATTCCCAAACTGTAATACAAATAGTCTAAGAAATCTAATTAATGTTATTTATCATGCTGCTGTGCCTAGTCAGCTTTGTATAAAAGTTTCTTACTCTGATGAAAGTTCAAATGCTAGTTGTTACTGTAAATGTTTTCAGTAATAAATGGTAACAGCAGGCACTTAATTATTCAGTAGTATTGCCCTGTAAGACAACTGCAAACAAAATATACAGCGTCTCTTAATATCTATTAATAGGCTAAAATGTTCATCTCATGCTTTCTGGAAAACTTATTTGGAGTGTCGTTTGAAAGACCAAGTTCATGTCAGTGAAAAATGCCAAGAAATTGCTGTAGTTAATACCATTGAGATACATTGTAAGGTTTGTATTTGCTTTTCAGTGAAACAATAGGAGCTAGAATGTAATACCCAGGAAGCCTGGAGCAATTAAAACACTACCTGAAAAGGGATGCTATGTTGTTCCAAGATAAAATAGCTCTGCTGAAGAAATATTGGAAGGAGGAGGAGAAGAGTGGAAAATGGAAGGGCAAAATGAAGCACAACTTTGAGAAAGTTGTAGAAAATCAGTTTGTGTAAAATATTGTCAATCTTCCTCGGTTCTCTTGACCACAGAGAGTCCGTGGTGTTACTAGGAAGAAACCGTGCGTGGGGAAGCTTGAGTAGGTTTGAATTAGAAGAATTGTGCAGTAGTTTTAGTTTGTATGTCTGTGAAATATGTTGGAAAGATTAACCTGAGTTCGCTGTACTACACAGGGCTCTGATATTCTTGTAATTTTTGCTGTTAAGGTGAAAGCCAAGTGATAATCTCAGTAGAACTAGAGGCTGAGACTGTGGTGAAAAAGGCATTTTGTGCATTGAGTTCTTAAAGGAAGAGCTGTGTTTCAAATGAATTTGAAATAGAAATATGTATGGTGTTAGCTTTGCTGTATTGTAATACCATGTTACGCTCTGAGTAGTAGTATTCTGATGATATAACCTTTTAAATGGTAAAAGAACAATGAGATTTTTTAAAATGTGGGAGGTTTCAAATTGGAAAGGGAAAGGGATACAAATAATACTGGTATGGAAACTATCAGAAAATTTATTTGGGTTTTTGTTATTTATTTTGGGTATTTTTTGTGCTAGTAATGATAACCTGGTTAAAAATTCTATCTAAAAACCACCTTTCTTTGTTACTGAGTAATCAGTAATAGAATTTCAATATGTAATATTTTTAAAGGAGTAAAGATGATAAGACTTTTATGGTTCTGGGGTACAAAAGAGCTCCCCCCTCCCCATTTCATTATGTAGTCTGTGTGCGGGTAGATATAGTGTCATGATACTTGAAAATGAAAAAGCAGTTCTTTGTTTTCTGGTCTGCCTGTATCCAGGCTTCTAAGATGAGCACAGAAAGAGTAAGATTTGGTAACTACTTTCTGTCAAAAAATTTCACTGTTTGATTTAACCTGCTTGGTTTGGATTTTCCTACTTACACTGCCATTGTGCAAAATCTTTGGGAACTGAGTGTTTAAAATCTGTATTAAAATCTGTACTATATACTGATTTGCTTATAATGTTGGTAGAGTTTTTGATAACTGTAGCAGACCCGATGTCAGATGTGTACCTGCGTGTGAGTGTATCCTTACCCATACATGCACATATGTATGTATGTACATATGTGTACATGCACATACATACGAATGTTTCTCTAGAAGCATACGTACGACAATATACTTTATTGTCACCCTGTTATTGTCATTCCTGGCTCAAATAATCCATAATTTGGACAAGATACCTATTTCTTGTTCATGTGGGAAGCCTAAGAAATTTAAAAGAAGGTTCTACTTACCCTTTCTCGGTACTGCAAAGGCTTATAAACAAAAGATGCCAGTGATTCCCTTCCCCAGTATTATATTTAATATGGAGTAGAAGAGGAAAGAAGAGCAATATTATTATTATTGGTACGACTCTGGGAAGCTGAGCTTGTTCTTGTGACTACTCCAAAGGGACAAGGAAGAGAGAGCTTATATTTAATATGGAGTAGAAGAGGAAAGAAAAGCAATATTATTATTATTGGTACGACTATGGGACGCTGAGCTTGTTCTTGTGACTACTCCAGAGGGACAAGGAAGAGAGTAGAAAAGCAAGAACAAACCTTGGAGAGACTTCCGTAGGCACAGAGGTGGATTAAGATGCAAAATTCCATTTGTTACGGTGAAATGCATGTTAGTGGCTCTCATGTAGTTGCCCAGAGCAGTGTATGACTTCCACTAAAACAGGAAAATAATACCAATAAGATAGATTACTTTCTCTCCCTGTATGTGTTGATAAGATTTGATATTTTTATACTACTTCTAAATAAAGGACCTGCAAGTTCTCTGTGAGCTTTAGTTAATTAGGTCAAACAAGACTCCTGTGAGTTGTTAAGTCAGCTAAAGAGATCACTGAAACTCACAGTTGAAGCATAGTAGCTATTTTAACAATAAAATAAATTCCTCAGAGCTTAAGATGTGATGTGAGGACTATTTCTGTTGCAATAGCAGATGACTGTAGAGAGACCCAACATAATTGCCCAAGTTAGAAGTTTGTCAGATCCATAAAGGTAATTTGCTACTTTTATGCAGAAGGGGAACGGGGGGAAGAGTGTGGTGTGACTTCTTGTTTAGTTTTAGGAGTAAGACCTAATGGCATTGGGAATAGATGGATTTTTTGCCAGATGAGTCTGAAACAGATTTCATATTGTCTCCTTTTAAATTTTCTGAGGATCCTTTCAAGTAAAAGAGAGTGGGTGAAAGGACTTGTGCAATTG